GGTAAATTGTCACCATTTTATATTTTTAATTTCGCGCATGCGCGTTGTTTTTTATTTTTGTCGATTGCACAGTATAGTAGGGTCCGTTGGGCCCTGTCTGTGAGGAAAAAGACCACCATGACGCAATTGATTCCGACAGAAATTTGGAAATAGCATACTGTACTTCTTGGCATTCCCACCGGAAGCTCCAATGCGAACATGTTAGAGTGATTAAATGCCAATATGAGGAAAGTTCAGAAGATTCGGAAGGAGTTGGATGAGTCTAATGGTGATTACGAAGGTGTTTGGAGTGATCACTAGTGATGGCTACGTTATGCCTCCATTCATCTTCCTACAGACCCTCACTCAACACGGATGCTTACATGAAGTGTCTTACTGTAGTTCTGCTCTGGGTCAAGAGGGTGACTACTGGAGGACACTATGTCTGGCAACAGGGCTCTGCCTCATACCACACAATCAGGAGAACCCAGTCATGGCTGTCAGATAACATCACCCTTTACATCTGTCTACCTAATTCCCCAGTCTTCAAACCCTTTGATTATTGTATGTGGGGCACAGTTGAACGAGAGACTAAGAAAACTCCTTGTAACGCCAAAGATGAATTAAAGGCAAGGATTATGGCAGCATTCACCATCTTAAACAAGGAGATCGTCCAGAAAAGTTGTCGGAGATTCGGAAGTCATCTGAAGGCCGTGGTTATGGCAAATGGCGATTTTATTGAATAAATTCACTCTTTAGTATTTCAAGATATTTTTGTGTAATGTTGGTAAAACAGGAAACTACAAACGACACTACACACTAAAATCACCGACACCCACAACTATCTACAGTTTAAGTCTTCCTACCCTAAACACACCTTAAGGAGAAACTTCCCTATTCACAAGCACTTAGACTCAGAAGGATATATTCTAACAATGAAGAACTAAATAAACACGCTAAAAATCTCGAGCATCAATTCACAACACGTGGCTATAAACAAAGCCTAATCAGGGAACAAATAAATAAAGCAATTTCCACGCCGAGAAAAGACACCCTAATGTACAAAATTAAAAATAAATCCAGACACATCCCTTTAGTACTCTTTTCTTTGTTACCAAAGAAATCTTCCTCTCTCGCAATACTCTGCCCAGCTTTTGGAATGTGCCCTTCGCCATCCCAATCCGTCTACGGATCTCTGTGTCGCACTTACCTCTGTCAAGACGCTTTCCAGATGTTTAAACTTCCGCGTCTGCTTGATTCCAGTGTTCCCGACCTGCAAATCGCATTTCAATCTTATCCTTTTACTGATGTCTATGCATTCTGTCTTCTTGTAGTTTATGCTTAGTCCCTTCTTCTCGCTCTCCTTCGCAACCTTCTGTAGGAGGATTTGGAATTTCTTTTACTGCATCTAATAAAGAATTCTTTTCCGTGTCTGCTATCAGTACTGTGTCATCTGCGTATCTTATGTTGTTAAGATTGTGGTCGCCAATGCTAAATCCCCGTAGGACTTCCAGTTCTCTCTTGGAATGCATCCTTGGCGACCTTAAACCGTCTTCGGATCTCAGCGTCGCACCTACCGTCCCCCGTCAAAATCTGCTTGATTCTAGTGTCCCCGACCTTCAAATCGCATTTCAGGCTCTTCCTCTTATTGATGACCATGCATTCTGTTTTCTTATAATTTATGCTTTGTTCCTTCTTCTCGGCATCCTGGGTATGACCATAAACTACATCCGCGTCTAGGGTAAGACGATAAACTACGTCCAACAGCAAGGCCTCTGATCCGGAGGCTTTGAAGAGCGTGGAACCTCCTCTTAATTGCTGGTGTTCCCAGGTCTGCCCGACCCGAGGTGGTAGCACCTGTTGGGGTCCAAGCTATGGGCAAGTAGTTGACCCAGAAACTAAGTTAAAGGGCATTATGAAGGTGTAAAAATGGGTTTTAATACCAAAAATGCTTTGTAAAAGATTATTACCAGAAATGAATTTTTGAAGAAAAAAATATTACCAGCAATATGTTTTTGAAAAAAAACTATTACCAGTAATACGTTTTTGGAAAGATATTACCAGCTGTGCGTTTTTGAAAAAATAATATTACCAGCTGTACGTTTTTGAAAAAATAATATTACCAACTATATGTTTTTGAAAAAATAATATTACCAGCTATACGTTCATGGAAAAATAATATTACCAGATATACGCTTTTGAAAAAAATAATATTACCTGCTATACATTTTTGAGGAAAACATATTAACAGAAATAGATTTTTGACAAAACAAAAATATTACCAGAAAAAAAAAGTTGTCGGCATTAAATGACCCATTGAGGTTGATATGCCGTAAAACAAACCAAACCAAACCTTCTCGCTCTCCTTCGCTAACTTCTGTAGGAGGTTTTATAATTTCTTTTCTGTGTCTGCTATCAGTATTGTGTCATCTGCCTATACTTGGTTCACATATTTTTATAACCTTGTAAATAAACATTACTAATAGAATCAAAAATGTATTCAATAATAGAGGATGTCAAAAGGATCTACTGTCCTTTTGACACACATTTCTTTTTATAGGCACGAAGGTTAAACATTATTAATTTATTAGCTCCTTGTCTAGGTTCTTGGATTGACATTAAAGGATCTACATTTATGTATTATAGATTATGCAAAAGCCTTTTTACGACGCAAAGAACTGTTTGAACTGCTAGGTAAGCTTGATTTATTTGGGAATTATATTAGAATATTCTAGAGATTATACTGGGAGCAAACCTCCTGAATACGAGTAGAAAATGAAAACGTGCGCGAGACATGGGCGTATCTTCTCACCAGACGTATTTCAAACTTTACAGCAAAGCGACCCTCAGAGAACTAGAAGTCCTACCTGGATTTATTATTGCCAGAAACAATTTTAACAGTACACGATATTCAAATAAGACGGTGTTGGTAGCAGACGTTGAAAAAAAAACCTGCAGGAACTCCGACAGAAGGTAGTAAAGAACTTAACCATCAATTGTAAGGAGACAGGATGCACGGTTGTCATAAAAAGGAATAGTCAAAGACTCTAAATACGAATTCGAGATAACAAAATCAAGCAAGTACGAAAATTCAAATATCGGGGAAGTGGTTTAACAGAGGATGAAAAATGTGACACCGTAATCCGAAGTTGTACTGAAATAGAGAAAAATGCTTTCCGAATTCGCGTTGTTTTTTTTTGTTGTTTTTTTTGTTTTTTGTTTTTTTTTTTTTTTTGTTTTGTTTTTTTGGTCAAAATAATCGACCAACCGAGAGTGCAATTGGAAAAATTGTTCGTAAATTCACGCAAACTGGGTCGGTGGCAGATGCGAAAACATCATTGCTTGCTCGTTTACGCCGTTCAGCTGAAAACATTGCTGCAGACCACGAGAATGTGGCCGTAATCCACATACCTCTATTCGTCATTGGACGCAAGAATTGAACACCACCCCCAACAACGTTACATCGAATTTTGACAAAGATTTATCTCTACACGCTTACAATATTTAATTGACACAAGAACTGAAATCCGCAGGCCATTTGGAGCGCTGTACATTTGTCATTTGGGTGCATGAGCAAAGACAAACCGATGAAGATTTTTCACAAAAAATCCCCTTTAGTGATGACGTCCATTTTCATCTTGGTGGATTCGTTAATAAGCAGAATTGTCGCATTTGGGCTGATGAAAATCCAAGAAAGATTGTTAAAAAGCCACTGCATCCACAAAGGGCCACCGTTTGATGTGCATTTTTTGCTAGTGGAATCATTGGAACGTATATTTATAAATTTGAACGTCCATTTTCGTAATAGGCTTCGATAATTTTAACGTGTTTGATTGTTAATCTTTCCATGGTTGAAATTGCCAAAGACTTAAGTTGTTAAATCTGAAAGAAAAAGAAAAAAATCATTAGACGCTTAAACTTCACAATAATTTAAAATCGGTCCAAGTTATTGGAACACCCTATATTAAGAAACAGAAAAAAACGAGAAAAAAAAATACTGAACTGTTATGCAATATCGTTCCTGTTAAGATGACAGTGAATGCTGGAAATTTTCTTCATGGATGAAGAAGAATCTTGAGGCAACAGAAATGTGGCACTACAGAAGGATGCTGAGAATATCCTCTGATGCAATGGGAGGGCGCGGCCTCGGGCAGCTGTTCCCCAGGGTTGGGCACCTCTTCAGTATAATTTTCCTCAGTTGCCCCTCTGTCATTTGACAGAGAAGCCCCTGAGCGCACTCTACCCAAAGACAGAGACGTAACTGAGAGATAAGCCATCTTAGCCAAAAGGCCGAGAAGCGATTGCATTTTCGCCCCATGTATTTCTCCCTCCAACACAAACTATCTTACTTCAGCAATTGTCACTGCTTCTACAAACTGATAATCTAATAATTTTACAAACTGGTGACGTCACCTACACATTTAACTCACAGATTGTACTTGTGTGTGATCTGTATAGTAATAAAAGCAAGGAGCCAATAACAAAAATCTAATTTTAAAGGAATAGAACCGTGCCGGTTAAGTTCTAGAGAATCGTTGTATGTATTATAAATAAATAAGCGAATAATTGATTAAAAATCTCAAACCTAATAATGAACAGCTTATTTGCATATATGAAGAAACATAGGGATTATTTCCAGCCATCGGGAAGGTACCGCGACATATATATGGTGACTTTCGGTTAACGAGTATACCCATCTGCTCAGGTGACTGTCGGTTAACGAGTATACACATCTGCTCAGGTGACTGTCGGTTAACGAGTATACCCATCTGCTCAGGTGACTGCTCGTTAACGAGTATACCTATCTGCTCAGGTGGCTGCCCGATAACGAGTATACCCATCTGCTAAGGTGGCTGCCGGTTAACACGTATAGCCATCTGCTCAGGTGGCCGCTCGTTAACGAGTATACCCATCTGCTAAGGTGGCTGCCGGTTAACACGTATAGCCATCTGCTCAGGTGGCCGCTCGTTAACGAGTATACCCATCTGCTCAGATGGCAGTCCGTTAACGAGTATACCCATCTACTCAGGTGGCTGCCCGATAATGAGTATACCCATCTGATCAGGTGGCTGCTCGTTCACGAGTATACCCATCTGCTCAGGTGGCTTCCCGATAACGAGTATACCCCTCTGCTCAGGTGGCTGCTCGTTAACGAGTATACCCATCTGCTCAGGTGGCTGCCCGATAACGTGTATAACCCTCTGCTCAGGTGGCTGCTCTTTAACTAGTATACCCATCTGATCAGGTGGCTGCTCTTTAACGAGTATACCCATCTGATCAGGTGGCTGCCCGATAACGAGTATAGCCATCTGCTCAGGTGGCTGCCGATTAACACGTATAGCCATCTGCTCAGGTGGCTGCCGGTTAACACGTATAGCCATCTGCTCAGGTGGCCGCTCGTTAACAACGAGTATACCCATCTGCTCAGGTGGCTGTCCGTTAACGAGTATACCCATCTGCTCAGATGGCAGTCCGTTAACGAGTATACCCATCTGCTCAGGTGGCTGCCCGATAACGAGTATACCCATCTGCTCAGGTGGCTGCTCGTTCACGAGTATACCCATCTGCTCAGGTGGCTTTCCGATAACGAGTATACCCCTCTGCTCAGGTGGCTGCTCGTTAATGAGTATACCCATCTGCTCAGGTGGCTGCCCGATAACGTGTATACCCCTCTGCTCAGGTGGCTGCTCTTTAACGAGTATACCCATCTGATCAGGTGGCTGCCCGATAACGAGTATAGCCATCTGCTCAGGTGGCTGCCGATTAACACGTATAGCCATCTGCTCAGGTGGCTGTTCGTTAACGAGTATACCCCTGTGCTCAGGTTGCTGCCGGTTAACACGTATAGCCATCTGCTCAGGTGGCTGCTCGTTAACGAGTATACCCATCTGCTCAGGTGGCTGCCCGATAACACGTATAGCCATCTGCTCAGGTGGCCGCTCGTTAACGAGTATACCCATCTGCTCAGGTGGCTGTCCGTTAACGAGTATACCCATCTGCAAAGATAGCAGTCCGTTAACGAGTATACCCATCTGCTCAGGTGGCTGCCCGATAACGAGTATACCCATCTGCTCAGGTGGCTGCTCGTTAACGAGTACACCCTCTGCTCAGGTGGCTGCTCGTTAACGAGTATACCCATCTGCTCAGGTGGCTGCCGATAACGAGTATACCCCTCTGCTCAGGTGGCTGCTCTTTACCGAGTATACCCATCTGCTCAGGTGGCTGCCCGATAACGAGTATACCCATCTGCTCAGGTGGCTGCCGGTTAACACGTATAGCCATCTGCTCAGGTGGCCGCTCGTTAACGAGTATACCCATCTGCTCAGGTGGCTGTCCGTTAACGAGTATACCCATCTGCTCAGATGGCAGTCCGTTAACGAGTATACCCATCTGCTCAGGTGGCTGCCCGATAACGAGTATACCCATCTGCTCAGGTGGCTGCTCGTTCACGAGTATACCCATCTGCTCAGGTGGCTTCTCGATAACGAGTATACCCATCTGCTCAGGTGGCTGCTCGTTAACGAGTATACCCCTCTGCTCAGGTGGCTGCACTTTAACGAGTATACCCATCTGATCAGGTGGCTGCCCGATAACGAGTATAGCCATCTGCTCAGGTGGCTGCCGATTAACACGTATAGCCATCTGCTCAGGTGGCTGTTCGTTAACGAGTATACCCTACCCCTCTGCTCAGGTGGCTGCTCGTTAACGAGTATTCCTCTCTGCTCAGGTGGCTGCTCTTTAACGAGTATACCCATCTGATCAGGTGGCTGCCCGATAACGAGTATAGCCATCTGCTCAGGTGGCTGCCGATTAACACGTATAGCCATCTGCTCAGGTGGCTGTTCGTTAACGAGTATACTCTACCCCTCTGCTCAGGTTGCTGCCGGTTAACACGTATAGCCATCTGCTCAGGTGGCTGCTCGTTAACGAGTATACCCATCTGCTCAGGTGGCTGCTCGTTAACGAGTATACCCATCTACTCAGGTGGCTGCCCGATAACGAGTATAGCCATCTGCTCAGGTGGCTGTCCGTTAACGAGTATACCTATCTGCTCCGGTGACTAGCTAATCCTAATTACAGACGCATGCTCTGTGTTATAGAATGTCAAGGCCAGCGACAGAATGATCAGCGCTTGGTCAGAATACTTCGTGGGCGTGACAGTGATGAATTACCTATGTCTGGGTTTTGGATATGTTTAAAACCGCTCGAATTCAAGAAAGGGATAAATCCAAGAATTCTGAAGAGTCGATACGCTTCCCACAACCCAGGTCCGAGAGATGGGCTAAGACCATAAGCGGAAGGACGTTGTCCCGTGACGCCATTCCTCCCGCTGCCTCTTTGAATCCAAGCTGCCACGCCTGTCCCTCTCTTCTAAGAAAAACGAATAAGAAAAAGAAATCGTCTTTTACGTTAATGCTGTCTATGCAGTTGCGTTATAACCCAGAGACGACACGAAACACATGAAGCCCATCTGTATTTCGTCAACACCAACAGATCATTCTTATATATATATTACTATAAAAGTTACTTGACTATACGTGTTTGAGTACCCATATTTTGTTTCGTGCTATCCTCCGTCAATCATTGTTAAATTTTGTTTCTTGTTCTGCTGGATCAATCACCGTTAGGAGACATTTTATTTTTTTCTCGCCGGTCAATTATTGTTAGGAAACTTTTTTCTCCTCGGTCAAACATTGTTACGAAACATTTTGTTTCTGATTCTCTCCTGTCAATCATTGCTAGGAGACATTTTGTTTCTTCCTCTCCTCAGTCAATCATTGTTAGGAGACATTTTGTTTCTTCCTCTCCTCAGTCAATCATTGTTAGGAGACATTTTGTTTTTCCTCTCCTCAGACAATCATTGTTAGGAGACATTTTGTTTCTTCCTCTCCTCAGTCAATCATTTTTACAAATGTTTTTTGCTTCTCTTCTATCAATGATGTAATAATTTTGTAAATTTGTTTCTTGCACTGCCAGGTCAATCATTGCTAAGAAACATATTGTTTCTGGTTCTCTCCTGTCAATCATTATTGTGTCAACATTTTGTTTCTTGCTATCATCTGTCAATCATTGTTACAAGACATTTTGTTTTTTTTCTCTCTTCGGTCAATTATTGTTGCGGAACATTTTGTTTCTTGCTCCCTTCGGTAAATCATTGTTAAGAGATGTTTTGTTTCTTGCTCTCATCGGTCATACATTATTACGAGACATTTTGTTTCTTTCTCTCATCGGTCATACATTATTACGAGACATTTTGTTTCTTGATCTCATAGGTCATACATTATTACGAGACATTTTGTTTCTTTCTCTCATCGGTCATACATTATTACGAGACATTTTGTTTCTTTCTCTCATCGGTCATACATTATTACGAGACATTTTGTTTCTTGATCTCATCGGTCATACATTATTGCGAGACATTTTGTTTTTTGCTCTCATCGGTCATACATTATTACGAGACATTTTGTTTCTTAATCATTGTTGCGGAATAATTTGTTCTTTGCTTACATCGGTCAATCATTGTTACGAAACATTTTGTGTCTTGCTCTCCTCGGTCAATCATTTTTTACGAGGCATTTTGTTTCTTCCTTTCTTTGGTCAATCATTTTCCTTCGAATTCTTGCTCTCCTCTGGTGATCATTGTCATGAGACATTATGTTTCTTGTCCACAACATTTTTTTTTCTGAATTGGAGAATTCAAAAGATACTGGGGAATCTTATGGCGTGTGTAGATTGAATTTGGCACTACGTAATTAGTGAATTGCATATGCTTCTTTTTCAATAAATGATCACCTCCTCTCTGCATCATTCAGTTTGTGAGATAGGAAGCTTACAGGTTTTTTCCATTACTCTTTTCATTTCTTCATCATATATCTGCTGCGTTAAGCAAGCTCCGATCGTTAAGTCCGATGCACCCGAATAAAGTTTATAATCTTTGTTCGCCTCTGGGTACGCTAGCATCACTAATTCGGACATCATATCTTTCAAGCGATCGAACGATTCTTGACAGTTATCACCCTACCTAAAACGCACGTTTCCTAGTAAATCTAATTAACGGTTCTGCTCAGCTAGAGAATCCTGGAATAAATCTCAGATATTAGGAGCACATACCGACAAATCCCTGAGTGATGGGAGTGGCTATCATATTTTGGCGATTTTAACTTCAAATTGTGTTTCTTTAAACTGTTGAAACCATCTGAATATTTTCTACATGGTGTTCTATGGAATCAGAAAACACTAAAATATCGTCCAAATAGTACAGAACGTGCTGTTCCTGTCTTTGTAAAACGGTGGACATTAATTCCTGAAAAACACTGGGCTCGTTCGCTAGTCCAAATGGCATAACGTTAAAGTGGAATAAACCCCGATGACACACGTGAACACAGTTTTTTTCCTTATTTTCTTCATGCCAAGATTCGGATTTTAAGTCTAATTTGGTAAATTACCTAGCTGGGCCTAAAGATCCTAAGATATTATTAATAACCGGAAATGGGTGTGTATTGCTAATTTTATTTAGAATCCTAAAATCTACAGAAAAATATCTTACTACCACCCATCTTCTCTACGAGCACCACTGGTAAACCCCATGGACTTCTAGAGGCATCTATAATCCTAGCCTCTAACATTTTGTGTAAAGCCTTATCTACTAGATTACTTTATGAGAGGTGTGTGCGGTATGGGCGTTTTTTTTTTGTTTTTTGTTTTGTTTTTTGTTTGTTTGGGTTTTTTTTGTTTGTTTTTTTTTGTTGTTTTTTTTTGTCCGTCGGTGTTGATACGCATTTTCACCGTATCTGTGCTACCTGGATCTTGCCATTCGTAGCAAATAAATCCCTATTTTTCTTCAGCAGCTTAAGTATTGGTACCCTAAATTCTTCTGGCACGTTCACCTGTTCCAATTCTCCCTCTTCGATGTTGTTTCGCTTCTAATGAGGAGATGATATTTACACTGTCTATCTGATTAGGCCAAGCTATTAAGCACCCTCGTCTCAAAGTAACTGTCTGGTTCCTATTATTGACAATGAGTACCTTTATTCTGCCCGTCGTACCGACTGTTACTACCGCACTCGCTACCGAAACGCCTCATAGGTTACTAACGAACCCCGATTTTAATTGTTCAGCCCCATAAGCGTTCGCTAACGTATCGTCTCGTAGTCCGACTTTTGCCATCCACGTGTGCATGAAGTGCGGCCTTTAACGTTATTTGACGAGATATCCTAGCTATGAACGAAATATGTATGTCTTCTTCTAGTGCTACATACTCATCTCCAAGAACGAAGTGCTCCAAAATTAAAATAAATTCTACCCCCATTTTGCTGTAGCCAGTCCCATCCCACTTATTTTTTTCATTTATTATGCCTCTTGATTCCTTGGAGAACATAGAGCCGCAACAACACCTCTCCAACGGACGCGGTTCCGGGCAATCCTCTTCAGGTCAGCCCATGTCGTGTTGGCTGCCTTCACCTCTGCGTCAACACTTCTGCGCCAAGTCTGTTTTGGTCGACCCACTTTTCGCTTCCCTTGTGGATCCCAGTCAATGACCTGCCTGGTGACACTAGAAGCAGGCTTGCGGATTGTGTGGCCGATCCATCCCCATTTCCGTTTCGTGATGTCAATCTTGATTGGGGCTAGTCTAGTCCTGTCCCACTTTCTACGAGCAAGTCCAAGCCATCGTGGACAAAGTATCAAAAAGAGATCTGAAGATCCTTATGGGAGACATGGATGCAAAAGTGGGGGCAAACATCAACAGAGAACTTATCATGGGCAGGCATGGCATCGGACAACAGAACGAGAACGGCGAACTTTTCAGAGTTTTGCTCCTTCAATGACGTGATCATTGGAGGCACCATCTTTCCCCACAAGACCACCTGGATTTCGCCTGACAGAAAGACTGAGAACCAGACCGACTACATTAGTATGAGTCGAAAATGGAGAAGGAGTTTGCATGACGTCACGGTGAAGCGGAGAGCAGACGCAGCATCAGATCACCACCTCATTGTTGCCGTCCTTAAGACCAAGCTGACAGCCTACAACGACCGGGTTGGAGACCATCGCACACATGTTCAATGTGAACAGCCTGAAAGAGAGAGGAAAACAGAAGAATTCAAGTTGGAACTGAGGAACAAGTTCTATCTGCTTTCCAAATTGACAAAAAACAATAGAACAATGGCACAGTCTGGAAGACAACATGGCAAACAGTCCTGGGGAGAAAAACAAGGAATCACAAAGAGTGGTTGACAGCAGCAACATGGACATTGATCACCGAGAGAAAAGAACTGAAAGACCAGATCAACCGGACCCAAGACTTTGAAGAGCAGGAATTGCTAACATGCTACTGGGAGAAAAACCGGGAAGCGAAGTGCGAGAAAAGACAAGAGAAACTTCACTGAGGAACTGACCCAGGAAGCAGAAACTGCAGCGGGCTAAGGAAACATGAAAAGGCTGTATGACTCTCTGGGAAAAACAGTAAACTCAGTTGCCTCATCAACGACCAAAATGGCAGTATTATCTCAGGGGAAGAGGAACAGAGAGCAAGATGGGTGCAATGCTTCATGGAAACACTCAACAGACTCGCAGCGTCTGTTCCACCAGATATTTCACCGCCTACAAAACTCCTCGACATTAACACTGACCCCCATTACAAAGAATGAGATTACCAAGGCCATCAATTCTCTTAAGACGGGCAAAGCAGCGGGCCCTGACGGTATACCACCTGAAGCACTGAAGGTAGACATTCACACTTCAAATGGCATGCAGCACCGACTCCTGCACAATATCTGGGAGCAAGAAAGAGTGAAGAGTGGAAGAAAGGGCACTTTGTGAAGTTGCTGAGGAAAGGGGACCTGTCATCCTGCAACAACTGGCGAGGCATTATGCTGCTGTCCTTTCAAGGACAACTCGAAACAGGCTCTCGGAGTGTGTGGCCAATCCATCCCCATTTTCCCCGTTTCTTGATGTCAATCTCAATTGGGGCTTGTCTGGTCCTGTCCCGCAGTTGGTCGTTTGAGACGACTTCCGACCACCTGATATTGAGGATGTTCCTGAGACATCGGTTGTTAAATGTCTGAAGTTTGTGGGTGTTGGTCTTGGTTACCCTTCACGTATCTGTGCCGTACATTTGGACCGACTTGACGTTAGTGTTGAAGATCCGGATCTTATAAAATAAGAGGGTTGTTGATCTCCAGATTGGCCACGGAGTGTTGAAAGCTTGTCGAACTCTGTTGATTCGGGACTTCAACTGACATGCCACACCGACTCCTGCACAAGATCTGCGAGCAAGAAACAGTGCCTGAAGAATGTAATGTGAAACTGCCGAAGAATGGGGACCTGTCATCCTGCAACAACTTGAGAGGCATTATGCTGCTGTCCATCCCAGGGAAAGTATTGCCAAGAATCATCCTAGAGAGACTGAAAACGGCATTGGACAAGACACTTCAGGAAGAAAAGACAGGCTTTCGACAACATAGATTATGCATAGACCACATCGAGGCAATGCACATCATCATCGAACAGTCCCTGGAATGACAGACCCCCCTCTACTCAGTGTTCGTCGACTTTCAGAAAGCTTTTGATAATGCCAACATAGACGTCATAGACATAACATTGCCCTCTACCAAGAATGAGATCACCAAGGCCATCAAGTCTCTTAAATCAGGCAAAGCAGCGGCCCTAACATCCAGAATTCAACTGACATGCTGCACCGACTCCTGCACAAGATCTGGGAGCAAGAAACAGTGCCTGAAGAATGGAATGTGAAGCTGTCGAGGAAAGGGAACCTGTCATCCTACAACAACTGGAGAGGCAATACGCTGCTGTCCTTTCAAGGCCCACTCGAAGCAGGCTCTCGGGGAGTGTGGCCAATCCATCCGCATTTCTCTTTCTTGATGTCAATCTCAACCGGGGCTTGTCTGGTCCTGTCCCGCAGTTGGTCGTTGGAGACGACTTTCGGCCACCTGATACTGAGGATGTTCTTCTGGACATCAGTTGGTAAATGTCTAAAGTTTGTGGGTGTTGGTCTTGGTTACACCCCACCCCACGTTTCTGTGCCGTAAATTTGGACCGACTTGACGTTAGTGTTGAAGATCCGGATCTTGTTGTAAAGTGAGAGGGCTGTTGACCTCCAGATTGACCGCAGAGTATTGAAAGCGTGTCGGATTCTGTTGATTTGGCACTTCAACTGCCATGCTGTTCCTGCACAAGATCTGGGAGCAAGAAAGAGTTCCTGAAGAGTGGAAGAAAGGCCACCTTGTGAAGCTGCCGAAGAAAGGGGAACATGTCATCCTACAACAACTGAATGCCGATATTATATTCCTATTTAAGTTTCTTACTACGTAAAAATTATGCGGTGTGAGCTGGCTGCCTATCTATCTGCAAAGGTGACCCTTTTTCTTTAATATTCCGGCTTTGAGTCGCAGCACGCTATAAACTCTCCGTTATATGACTGATACATTGCCGTGTCTGAGAGAGCTCTTTAAGAATGATTACCTTACCTAATCCTTACTGAATTGGTTAAGCACATATTAACTTCTACATATTCCTTTCTCCGCTCGTTAGGACGTCCGGACGTTCCCATTTTCCCGAAGCGCTTGCAACTCCATCTAATGTGACCATCACCATCGCATTCCCAGCAGCTAACTACACTTCTGCCTCTATTAACTATCTACTTAGGTCGTCTATGGCTTCCTACCTGGCTATACCTATTTCTATCGTATATATCTGGTAGAGCAATTTATTTCTTGCGCTCCTCGGTCTGTCATTGCTACGATACATTTTGTTTTTTGCTCTCCTCGGTCAAACATTTTGCCAGACATTTTGTTTCTTGCTCTGTTCGGTCAATCCTTGTTGTGGAGCAATTTGTTTCTTGCGCTCCTCGGTCAGTCATGGCTACGATACATTTTGTTTTTTGCTCTCCTCGGTCAAACATTTTGCCAGACATTTTGTTTCTAGCTCTGTTCGGTCAATCATTGTTGCAGAGCAATTTGTTTCTTGCGCTCCTCGGTCTGTCATTGCTACGATACATTTTGTTTTTTGCTCTCCTCGGTCAAACATTTTGCCAGACATTTTGTTTCTTGCTCTGTTCGGTCAATCATTGTTGCGGAGCAATTTGTTTCTTGCGCTCCTTGGTCTGTCATTGTTATGATACATTTTGTTTTTTGCTCTCCTCGGTCAAACATTTTGCCAGACATTTTGTTTCTTGCTCTGTTCGGTCAATGATTGTTACAAGACATTTTGTTTCTTCCTGTGCTCGGTCAATCATTATCACGAGACATTTTTTTTCTTGCTCAGCTTGGTCAATCTGTGTTAGGAGACATTTTGTTTCTTGCTCTCCTCGGTCAATCACGGTAATGAAACATATTGTTTCTTGCTCTCCTCAGTCAATCATTGTTACAAGACATTTTGTTTCTCGCTCTGTTCGGTCAATCATTGTTATGGAACATTTTTTTCCTTGCTCTCATTTACCAATCATTGTTACAGAACATTTTTCTTGCTCACTTCTTTCAATCATTCCTATAAGACATTTCGTTTCTTTCTCACCTCGATCAATCACTCTTACGAGACATTTTGTTTCTTGCACTTCTATCAATCATAGTTGCACTGAAGATATTCCAAGACTTAAGTTCATGCCTTTTCTCATAGGATAACTGTTAAATGAACACTGTGGAAATTAGAATTTTTTTAAACTGTTTTCTGTTCTGATGGCGTTACATGACCATGTAGGTTCTTGTAAGATATAATTTGGCTTCGTTTCACTTGGTATTTTTTCTGTTTATTTTATTGAAGATTGTTGACCCCTGCTCATGTAGGTGTGACACGCTAGCGGGAAAATACGAATACTGAAAATATTCGTTGCTCACTGGAAATTTGTTACTCTGGTTTGATTAACCGAAATATTTTCATCGCTCGTGCCAGTGTCCGGCTGTCAACTGTTTATCAAAACGTAGGCCAGGAACGGAATTCATTTTCGTCATATACGTGATAATCTTAATAGTAATCACACAAAGACACACGCACACGAAATGACAATCCCAAATGGGAGTGTAATGAGACCTTGTGCTTTGAGAGCCAATGTAGATATGTATTGTTGTCTGTTGTAATTAGATGAAAATAGTGATTTACTAAGTGTTTGGTTGGCCTAAGTCAGCGATTTTTTTAAATGTCGGTCGTAACAAGATGTGCTACAGCATGTAATTAAGAAACTGGAGAGATTTTTAATTCAAATAACTGTTGCAACCTAGGAAACGATTACTGAATAAGAATAATAAAAAGGGAGGTTGAAAATGGAAAGAAAATATTTATAACAGGAACAACGGCGTGTAGTAAGTAATCAACTGCTAGTGGTGTGCTAGAAGTGAATGAAGGTGAAGCCCAAGTCTAGATATTCACTAACCACCCTATGCGGTCAAATGTGGGACAAAGCCGAAATTAATGTGGGTTCGGACAAAAATTTCCCTTAGATCCTGCATACACGGGGTCGGGGAGCTGTCTCCCGAGACGAGACGCTACCCTTCGACTTAGCCTCGTGTTGAGATCCTCTCTGTCCGGAGGCAGAGAGTTTGACCAGCACACTTGAAACTAAAAAAGCCAAGTGAAAGATATTCACTAACCGTCCCACGCGATCAGATGTGGCACAAGGCCGAAGTTTAGTGTGGGGTATCCGAGCTCGGCTCAGGCAAAAAAATCCCCGTAGACCCCGTAAAAAAACGGAATCGGGTAGCTGTCTCCCGAGACGAAACTCTCCCCTTCAACATAACCTCGTCTCTGAATCCTTTCTACGCTGAGGCAGAGAGTTTGACCAGCACACTTGGAAGTGAAAGCAAAGTGGAGATATTCACTATCGCCCCACCCGGTCGGATGTTGCACAAGGCCGAGTTTATTGTGGGGTATCCGAACCCGTAGGCTCGGCCAAAAATTCCCGGTAGAAAACGGGGTCGAGTAGCTGTCTACCACCCCAGACGAGACTCTGCCCTTCGGCATAGACTCGTCTGGGTTCCTCTCTGCCCGGAGGCAGAGTTTGACCAACACACTTGGAAGTGAAATCCAAGTGGATCCAACATACAGTATATTCCACAGTATTATAATGATTGGGATATACCGGTTATAATCCATAAGTACGGTATAACAATAACCAAGTTTGAAATTGAAGATTTAAATCTCCAAGTTAAGATTTTTTAATTTGACAGATCGGTTTGTGGTCATTTTTTTACCATTTCTTTTCTTCTAGCTTTCTCATAATTCCATCCATTGAAGGAATGGTTTTCAACTCATAGATATACGTTGTTTAATATCGACCGTAGTCTGATGTTGCTACAGTCGGTTCCTCCCAGTTCATTCATAGAAAAGAATCTTATTAAAAAAAAAGAATCTTATCTTATTTACTCACCTCTCAATAAGTTACTTTACATGTGTAAACAGTAAAGATGTAAGATATTTGAATGAAATGTTGTTGGGCTTACTAAATATATATGGGCGGCCTTCGTACCTACCGTAGATACAGATATTCACCCAAACTAATTATTTTTTTATTTTTTTTTTTTTTAATCATTTCACCCCAAGCAAGGCGGGAATGCCACTTATACGCAGTGGGTTACAGAATGAAAGTGAGAGAAATGACTATAAGGAGGATTGAGGAGAGGAGAAAAGTGAACGGATTTATTATTTTTTCCCGAGTTTCTTACTATATGAAATGAAGTTTTTTTTTTTTTTTTAATTTTTATAAATATTTTAGTAATATTAGCTTCTATGTTTTGAACTGGAAATAATTTAATTGTTAGAAAGAAATGTTTTTAAAAAAAATTCATTTCCTGAGTTACTTAATTTCTTTGCTTAAATGCTACTCAGAACATTTATTTAAAAACTGTCTTGTCTACACCAGTTTTAAATCTTTGAAGATTGTAGTTTGTAGAAAAAATGTTCTGTAACAATGGTTGGTAAATGAGAGCAAGGAACAAAATGACTGGCAAAATGTTTGACCGAGGAGAGCAAAAAACAAAATGTATCGTAACAATGACAGACCGAGGAGAGCAAGAAACAAAATGACTCCTAACACAGATTGACCAAGCTGAGCAAGAAACAAAATGTCTCCTGATAATGATTAACCGAGCACAGGAAGAAACAAAAGGAAGCAAGTAAACGGAAGAGCTTAAAAAAAAATAAGAGAAAGACAAAGTTTATTAAGAGCGACAAGGGACAGGAAGATGTGGAGAGCTGTGATCGCCTCCGTCCTGGGGAGACACGGCACCTAAAGTAGTTTCAGATCAAATGCAAGAAAGTGGTTATCTATATAAAGGGTGTTTCATTAAAACGGATTATATATTAGGGTGTTTCATTAAGTCAGCAGTAAATAAATCAGTGTCATTGGTGAAAATTTATTCATTTCTCTATTGGATCATGTTATTTAAATCATGGCAATTATGTGTGAAAAATATCACCCAAATGACCGCCAAATCTGAAGGAAAAAGAAAAAATGTTTCGACGCTTAAACTTAATTCACATTTAAAATCGGTCCAAGTTATTGGAACACCCACACACACACATATATATATATATATATATATATATATATATATATTATATATGTGTGTGTGTTTGTGTATGAGTGTGTATTTATGCGTGTATATATATATATATATATATATATATATATATAAATTGCTGAACTTATGACAAAAATAATTGAAACCACATGCAACTTTAATTCTAATTGCTTTGAATGAAAATGGAAAATAAATTAATAAAATTTATTTTAATGTGCCGTGTCCCTTCAGGACGTAAGCGATCATGTTCCCCCACTTCCCCATATCTCTTGTAACTCTCAATAAGTTTTGTCCTTTTGCTACTCCCCCTAGGCCATGTTGTCATACGCTTAAGACTGCTAGGTATGTCATGCGTTGCTTTCCTTTGTCCCTCTTTCCCTCTATTCAACATGTGAGTATCAGATTCTCCAAGCCGTCCTTTTTCATTACGTGTCCCAGAAACTCTAGGTTCCTCTTCCTGATGTTAAGTATAAGCCTCCTCCTTGTTTGCATCGTCTCCAGAACCTCATCATTGCTCACACGCTCGGTCCATGATATCCTTAGCATCCTTCTGTAGAACCATACCTCCATTGCCTCAAGTCTCTTCTTTTCTCATTACGTGTCCCAGAAACTCTAGCTGCCTCTTCCTGATGTTAAGTATTAGCCTCCTCCTTGTTTGCATCCTTTCCAAAACCTCATCGTTGCTCACAGGCTCGGTCCATGATATCCTTAGCATCCTTCTGTAGAACCATACCTCCATTGCCTCGAGACTCTTCTTTTCTCATTACGTGTCCCAGAAACTCTAGCTGCCTCTTCCTGATGTTGAACATAAGCTTACTCCTTGTTTGCATCCTCTCCAAAACCTCATCGTTGCTCACACGCTCGGTCCATGATATCCATAGCATCCTTCTGCAGAACCGCATCTCCTTCGCCTCGAGTCTTCTTTGAGGAGACCGTCCAGCCTTCGCTGTCGTAAAGGAGGACAGATATCACGTAGAAGCTCAGTACTTTTTTCTTTGTTACCAAAGATATCCTCCTGTCTCGTAATACTCTGCCTAGCTTTTGCAATACGTCTTTGGCCTTATCTAATAATAACATGGGCAGGTGTGTTACAGATTTGAGTCAAGATATTGAAAGTAATTTAAAAGTGATGAATCACGGTGTACAGATTGATGAATCATGTGATAATAGAGAAACCGTAAACTTGCTGAAAAAATGTTTGCTTCCTTCACGTAAAAATGATTTTCTTCTATCCGCTGTGTCCCTTTTAGAATATGGACGATCATGTTTCTCCACAACTTCCTGTCTTTTTTAGCTTACAGCATTGTCTTTTTTGCTAACTCTCCTAATCCCTGTTCTGTTATTCATTTACACCAGCTCTTTAGGTAAGTTCTTCGTTTGTTTCCTCTGTTCCTCTTGCCTTTAACATGTCCAGAGATATTCACTAACCGCCCTACACGGCCGGATGCGACACTAGGCCAAGTTTACTGTGGATGGGTCAGGTAGCTGTCTCCCGAGACGAGACTCTGCCCTTCGACATAGCTTCATCTGGGGATCCTCTCTGTTCGGAGGCAGAGAGTTTGACCAGCACATTTCCGAAGTCATTCGGAGAGTGATCATCTCCTATGAGTGTTAAATTTTCCAAGCTCTCTTTCCTCATTATTTTAATTGTCTCTTTCTAAATATAAGTATTTTAGAGAAAATTTAAACTAAAAGTTACATTTAGTTTACATTTTCTCTAAAGCTTTGTTGTTGTTGTTCCCTTGTTTCTTCTGTGGTATTCTCAGCATCCTTCTGTAGATCCACCCGTTACCTCGAGTTTCTTCTTCATCTGGGAGGAGATTGTCCAGCATTCACTGCTATGGAGGAGAGATGATATTGCATAACAGTCTCGCACTCTTTTCTTTGTTTCTAACGCGATTTTCCTGTTTCTTAATACTTTGCTTAACTTTTGGAAGATCTTTTTTGCTATCCCAATGCGCCTTCGAATTTCAGCGTCGCACTTTCCGTCTTCTGTTAAAACACTTCCTAGATATTTAAACTTTTGTACT